TTCTGAGGCTAGAAGCTGGAGTTCAGAGGTCAGTTCTGAATTGTACATGTCTTTCTCCTAATGTATTTTGACAGTACTCAATCTTATTGCTATTGACCTTATTTTCCATTCGATCTGTAAGGTTCTTTGGAGCAAGGCCACAGAAAATATCAATTTTGTTATGGTTCCATTGGTAAAGCAAGTGAAAATCGCAGTATCATACAGTTGCATTTTTGGCAGAGGGGAAAGGACATGGAACCCTATCAGCATAATTAGTAGGGTGGAAGAACAGAGAGTGGTTCCTTCTCATAGCAACCTTGGTTCTGCCAAAGGCTGGGTAAATGTGTATACTCGGGTGTGTTTACTAAGCTCTGTGTTCACACAGCCTATGACCAAATGCCACATTCCAGGGCAAATGACCATGGTGCCTCAAAAGTAATCAGTGCATTCCCAGCATTTAGTAGATGTTACATATGTAAAATATTAGTATTTTATTTTTGTATGTGTGGTTGCATGTGTGCGCATGTTGATGTGTGTGAGTACTCGTAAATGTGTGTTTGTGTGTGTATGTGTGTGTGTGTATGTGCATACAAACCACACTATGACCTCAGATGTTGTCATCAGAAACACTAGTCACTCTTTTCAGACAGGATCCTTCACTGCCCTGGAGCTTGGCAGTTAGGCTAGGTCGGCTGTCTCTGCTCCTCCGTCAGTAGTGTATACCACCACACCCAGCTTTTTACATGGGTGTTGGCAATTGAAATGTCCTCATTCTTTTACCACTGTCTCTTTACCAACCCAGGTATCTCCCTGGTCCTGCATATATAATCTCAAGCATGTAAAATACAAGCTTTTTCAGTGAACAGACTAACATTGAAAAGAAGTGAGTCTGCATTTTACTACTGTCTAAAGCTTCCTGAACAATACAGTTGGCTGGGGACTGGAGAGACGCCTCAGCAGCTGAGAGTGGTATTCACTGCTCTTTCAGAGGACCTGGGTTCAGTTCCCACAACAGTTGGCTCATGACAGCCTGTGACTCCATCTCCAGGGCATCCTTTAGCGTTGGCAGGCACCAGAACCCACACATACATACCACACACACACACATATATAATTTAAAAGTATAAAATAAATCTTTAAAAAAGAACAATTTGTGTATATGTGCCCATTACTGTTAACATTGGTTGTCCTAACTGTAATGACGTCATTGGTGACTGACAGTATGACTTCATAGAAGAAAAGCACTTCTAAATTGTTTTAAACTATTTTTTTTTTACACATGGAATTACACACAATACAAAATGCTTGTATTACAAGTTGAAATCTTTACATTCGTGGGTTCAGGACAGCAATGCAGGTAACATCAGCATTTCACTCAGTGACTCCATTCATTGGGCTGAACACAAAGCCAAGAAGGAATTATTTGCCCACATTACTTTCTAGCCTCTGAATCGGAAGAAGAAGAGGAAGAGGAAGAAGAAGAGGACGAGGAAGAGGAAGAGGACGAGGAAGAAGAAGAAGAAGAAGAAGGAGGAGGAGAAACGACTCTTACTTTCTCTGTTATATGTCAGAATGATGAACAATGTCAGCAATTAAGTAGTCTGGCATGTCTATAAACGGGAGTTTGTATCCCAATAGCTCTTACATTGTAAATCCTGAGGCTCTTACTAAGTTTGTTTATCAAATTGTCATTATCTCAGCTTTCAGGAAAATTACATCATCTTTGGTAATAGGCTGCCAACAAACAAAACAACTATAGGTTAAACCATTCCCCCCCCAAAGAATCCTGTATTTTAATGAATAGCTGAATAAATAGACATTAATTATGAAATTCACATTAAGATAGAAGAAAAACCAACCATTTTGTTTCCTTTGCCTCTTTGATTGGACAACTGGACAGCTGCTGTAGAATGTATTATTTATGTTAGGTGGAACAAGCTGAATTACAAAGTCGGAGACTGAGAAGTCCTGCAGATATGTACAGTAATCTGGAGGAGCCACAAAATCTTGGCTTTTATATATATATACATTGTTTTCTCTCTCTTTTTCCATGGAGAAACACTGTTTTGTATAATGGGGAGACACACAATAGGACACATGCAACAGGGACTGGTACAGTGTGTACAGCAGAATCGTCAAATAAGACATGAGAACTATGGGCTTAATAAAGGATCTGAGCGGGAAAAGAACAAGAACAGGGAGGGATGGGACCTGGAATGCTTCCCGAGTGAGGTCTCAGGATATACATTTATCTAACAAGCCTCTTGGTGGTTTTTCAAAGCTTCCACTCAATCACCTATGGTTTAAATGTAGAGCTAAAAATAAACCATCCTATTATACAAAACTTTGTATATTAGCATACAAAAGGTAACAATTTACTTTTTGTATAAAATATAACCTTTCGATAGTATATTTATTTCACATATGTATAAATATAATCCAAAGAATATGTTTTAAGTATTTCTACCAAAATATTCTTTACAAAAGTTTACAAAACAAGTAATTTATTAATATTTACAAACCAGCACAGAAGATCCTGGGCCAGTGTTATTGGTGCAGTGGAAAAGCCAGAGAGAGCCCAAAGGCATCATAAAGACAGGAAAAGGACTTTGTAGAGCTTTAAAAACAAAATGTGTTCTTTTCCTGAACAGGTTTGTGGAGATTAGGTGCTTAAATGACTTGAAGCCAATCACGCTTGGTATTTTAGTGTGTGAATGTCTAACTCAAAGGTTGAGAGTAGCTTTTGAGTCTCTGGATTTAGGAAGGTGGTAGTGGTCTTTTAGAGCCCTCTCAAATCTGGATACCTGCTCTACTTTGCAGTGTATATAGATGTGGGCACTGAGGTTCAGTGACCCAGACACATGCACAGTTTGCTGTAACACTCAGCCCTGAGGGAGGAAACCTGGATAAGAAGGGCCCAGGCACCATATGGCAAGGGCTTGCTGCATCATGAACAGAGTGAGTGGGTGGCTCCACAGAGATCACACTGGGTTCAGCTGCTCATCTAAGTCCACGCAGTACATCCAAGGAAAGGCTACATTGTCTCTTGGTTACTGTTTCCTCTGAGCTTTGTGAAATAGCTTTGTGCCCTGTCATGGCTCTCCCTGTTTCTTACCTTTAACCAAAACACGGTATTCTCTTATCTGACTCTAATTCACACTTTAATTTCTTTCTTTTCTTTTTTACAAACCAGTCTCTGGCTACCAAAAAAAAAAAAAATGAACAAGGCTCAATTTTATTCTGCTTGGGAACAGACCAGTGGCTATCAATCACAGTGAGCAACACTGCTGACATTTCATAGCCATGTTTTTCTCCTACATGGCAAGGTTTAATTTTTTTTAACTGAAATTTGATGCAGGCAGTTGTGCACTGATATTTCAGCATGTTCAGGACCAGTCTTGGTTATCTGTAAAAATTGGGAGGGAAGCCCCAGTCAGGTTGTAAGCCCTGCATTCTTGTTTTATCATGAGACACAGCATCCCACCAAAATACAAAACACATGGGAAAATTACAAAATGAGGAGTGCATCTAGGAAAGAAATCAATCAATCTGCTGGATAGCTTCTAGGTTCTCTGGTTCTCTCTTCCTTAGAACAACCTATAGGTTACTCCAAACAACCATGTAGCATTTCAATCTTTCCTGCAAGCTTTAAGACAAATAACAACAGAGAAGTCAAGGCATATTTATCTATTAGATGACAGTCTGCTGCCTGTTGCTTAGAACAAGCACCTGTCTATGATGTGGGATTGAAACAGGTCTCAAGTTCCATTGTACTTCCTTCACTGAGAAAAGGAACTTGGGAAGACCATTTTACACAGTTAATTACACATCAGCATCACAGTTGTGTTTGGATAAACTGGATAACACATCCTGAAGTTCAGTCAGGGAAAAACAATCCAAATGTTTTACTATCAGGCTCAAGATTTTTTTAAAACAAGCATGTGAACCAAAATGTTCACCACTGTGGTTCCTGCCAACCTTCCGTTTTGATGTCTGTAGAGCCCCCTGGACATCAGCAATTTGGCATTACAGTATCCTTGGAAAAACCCTGCTCGGAGCCTATGGGCCACCTTCCTTCCACCTTAGGAATTGCTTCCCAGGATCTCATCAAGGTTGATGTCTTTCATCCAGTCGTCATTGCCGGGCTCGGTCTTCAATAAAGAATCGATGAAATCAGCATCACTGTTTAGGGCAGGGCCCATGCTGTCGCTCTGTTGGCTGAGAAAGTCAAAAGCTAAATCGCTGCTGTGGTCAGGTCCTTGAAAAGCCCTGGAACTTTGGTTGGATGAAGGAAAAGTGTTGGGTGCCAGAGATGGAGGCTGGTTGGTGCCTGTCCTCGGCTGATTCAATCCTGCTCCTGATGGGTTCATATTAGACAGACTCTGGGTGGTCAGCTGATTGGGTCTGAGGTTCAAACCCCTGAGTGGACCCAGGGTTTGCCCATTTAATGTCTGATTCATTTGGTTCATAGGTCTCATTTGCACTGCTGGCGTTAACTGGCTAGGGGGAGCCACTGCCCTCTGGGAGAATGGCTGGCTCCCTACTCCTGGTTGCAATGACTGGTTTGGGGTATAGGCTGCTGGTGTACTTGTTGGGAAGCGGACCCCTGTGGATTTGAGGGCTTCCTGTTGTTTCCCAATCACCTCTTGAGAACCCCAGTTTGTTGCTGTTGTGTTGGCTGTGATCATGACAGTTGATGACCTCTGGGCTGGCATGCCTGCCAAACTGTGAGCCAAGTTTGGTCTTAATTGCTGTGAACTGCCAGCAGAGCCAGCTCCAAAGGTGGCCACATTGTTACTGTTATTTGCCCCTAAGGGAGAGGGCCGTGGCATCAGAGGGTTGTTCTGATTTGTTATCAGTTGAGTTGTATTTCTCTGTTGGGTCAGCTGATTCATTGTTGAAGTGACATTGTAGGTGCCAGGCTGGTTACAAGGCAGGTTTCCATACATCCCCATGTTCTGAACTGTGGATAACAATGGCATTCTCATCCCATGAGATGTAGACATGAGGCTGGAGTTCGGAGTTAAAATAGCGTGTGTTGAAACTGGGTTTGTCAAAGCCTGGTTAGAGTTTAAACTCACTGTAGAGGAGCCACCTACAACAAAGAAGAGAATCACATTCATTCATGCAGCTTAGTGTCTCTTACGGCAGCTTCAACAAGTTATCATCTCCAGAACTAGTTTCATGTGCAGGATGATTTAGACAAATAACATAGCAAACATACTGAAAAAAGAAAAAAAGAACAGAAGAGATCTGGGAGAAAGTGTTGCCCTGGGCTGCTCCTTGGTTAAGAGTCTACACATTACAGAAAACAGAGTGAAATAGAATGATTCTATTTTACATTTTTTGTTTTATTTGTCTTCTGAAGTCACTGAGGTGATAATCAATCTTTCTTTTTGAATTATTTTGATTATGTTCCGAGTTGGAAGATTACAAATTTGGTTAGCTAGCTGTCATGAAAACCAGGTTACCCTTCACCCCAGGGTTGCAACGAGGAAGTGGGAGATAAATCCCATTCATGGCTACCACACTAATATTCCTAACCTGTGTCCTAGACAATCATGATTCATTCTTTATCTGTATCATCCTCATTCAGGAAGCTGCTGTGAGTGGCTTCCTTGCATCCAAAGGGCAAACACAGTCTCAAGAATCTGCACTCTGATGTAATCTGTGCTCTGGTGATTATTTCCATATGGGAAGTCTGCTGAAGGAGGCATAGTTACTACTGCACTACTGTGAACTACACCACCAGCCACCTTTGCTCATCTGTTTCCTGCTCCCATGATGGCTGCTAAGCCCCTGAGCCTTATTTTTTCCTCAAGTTTCAAGCTGAGCCTGAAGCTCTGGTGTGAAGCTTTTCCTAATGTCCTGTCTTGTTTCTTTGTCTGCCATTTTCTGTTTGACCTTCCATTGAGCACTGAGGTAATTCAGCAAGCCTTGAAAAGGTTACCAGTTAAACTGATGCCTGTCAACAACTGATTGGATGAGGGGGGCAATAACTGGATCCTAAGTTGATGAACAGGATGGCTCCATTCAACAGACAGTGACCAATAAATGCAATGAAATATCCCTGGCTCAGTAAGGTTTGAAGTAACCCTGGGAAATCAGATTGAGAGGCAAAAATGGAGGGGGAAAAACGTACCTTAATGACAAATTCCACAAGGGAAGACCTTATCTCTTGTTTGGTTTACAGTTGTATTCCAAGTACAATGCCTGACAGAGTTGTTGTTCAATTGAATTTTGAATGATTCAATGAAAGAGATTGAAGGAAGGACAAGACTCTCATGAAGATATTGAAACAGAAACACATACACACAGGTATGAAAAGTGTATGTAAAGTGAAGAGCATGCCCACATGTGACCACTTAGGATACCCCTTGATGACTGAAGATGATGCATATGTTGATGCATAATGCAGAAGACAGGGCCAAGGCTACACAGTAGCTTTGCTCTTCACTGCAGATGCATTGCTAATCAGACCACGTGTTCTTCCAGTACATGAGGAGTCTTTTCTACCTCCTCACCCAAGATCCTCTATGATGCACTATACATTAGTATATGATGAGGCAAACTCAGAGCAAGAGACTGTGAATTTAAGCAACGTCATCTTTGCAGCTGAAGATTTTTGTGGTAAAGAAATTTGTTCTATACAAGTAAGATGGGGAAAAATAAGAAGCTTTAAAGCTGGAGATGCTATTCAATGGGAGAATGCTTGTCAAACACAAGACCCTGGGCTCAATCCTCTCCCAACCAAAACTATATTTGGTTATCTCATTAGAAACGATACACCCTAAATATGAAGAAGGCAGGGTTTTTTGTTTTGTTTTGCTTTGTGTTTTACATTTGATTATTTTGTGTGCATCTGTGTATGTGTGTTGGGGATGAAAATGCTGTTGCACACATAAGAAAGTCAGAAAACTGTTCGTGGGCGGTGGTTCTCTCCTTCCAGTGTGGTAGTCCGTGGGATAGATCTTAAGTCATCAGGCTTGGCAGCAAGCTCCTTACCCACTGAGCCATCTTACTGGACTGGAAAAGAGCATTCAAAAAGAACCAAAGCAGAGAGAATCCTCATAAAGCTCACAAAACAGCAGTTAAGATGTAGACGCCCCTAATGTGTGGTAGACATAAGTAGTGATGGATTCTTTTTGTTCTTTACCCTGATATAATAGCTGGGAAAGAATTGTTCTGAGCTAATGTTAAGATCTAAAGCAATATGAGGGGGAGGTTGTCTTGCTCTGCTGCTGTCTGTTTTATTCTCAGAAGTACAGGAAGGAAAATACTCTTACTCACTTTGGGGTCAACATATGCGAAAGACTGCTCTTGGGAGAAGCACAGGCCTTCCTTGGAAGGAGCTATTGGGTAGGTGTCTTTGTCCTGTGCCTGTCTTCCTCTCAGACAAAGCCCTGATATTTACAGCAATGTGGTCATGTGACAAAGCACATATTCTGAGTTTTCTTGCTAATGGAAAATCCACAGAAACTTCTCTGGCCAGAGATAAAAGTGGGCAGAGGCCCCATCAGACTGCTTTAGAAGGGGGCATGGCTCCTCTGGGAGTTCACTAACCTGTTCTCTCTTCCTCTTCCTGCATGGAAAATGCATATGGAGGTAACTGCTGTGGTGGCTACAGGGCAGCCCTTAGGATGGGAGGCACATGCAAAGGAAGTAGAAAGACAAAAGAAGCCTAGACTCTGACATCACCGAGGAGACCCTAGGCTCCCATCCTGGAGATCCAGAGAGATTTTACCACAGCTCCTTTCCACCCATTTCATTCTGAGAAACAGAGTGATTAAAAACTTTGGTTTTGTGACTTAAACAGAATTCACCTCTGGTTAAGGGAGGCTTCATAAAAACATGGTCTGCTTTTTAATAATTCCTTGTTGGCAGTGTGTGTTGTTTTTGGAGTAGAAGACTTGGGGAGATGGGTTCAAAGGTAGGGTGAGGAAAGACTTTGTGAAAGTTGCCAGCCAGCAGATGTTCTAAAAGGGAGGTGTTTCTACTTAACCTTATACTGCCTGGGTCTGAACACGGTAGTTAGAAAATGTACCGGTTTTTAAGGTTCTCACAAGTAGTGAACGTGTAAGCACAAAGCAAGGACAAGCGAGAACCCGTGAAAGGACCAAATGAGGTTCTATTTTTTGTTTTATTTATTTATTTATTTATTTATTTATTTATTTATTTATTTATTGGTTTATGGAAAAAGAAAGAATCTCTAATCTAGGCTATAATCTAGGCTAGCATGGAACTTACTATGTAGCTCCGGCTGGACTTGAACTCGCAGTGCTCCTCCTGCCTCAAGAATGTGATAGGTAGGGCTGGAGAGATGGCTCAGCCGTTAAAGGCTAGGCTCACAACCAAACATATAAGACTGTGATAGGTGTAAGCTATAACACTGTTTGAAAGCTAAGTGGGAGCTAGAAAAAGGTTTAGGGTAGATGTACTCTCCAAGATGGGAAAAGAAAATAGTGGAAATAGAATCGTTTTTCTTTTCACAGTTATGATTTGTATTTGTTTCAAAGAACTCTTACCAGAATACTGAGCAGGTGGCTGCAGGGTGCCCGCATTTCTTCTTTGGTCTTTGTAGTCTGGGGGCGGCCTTGTCAGATGTCGGTTCATCTGATCCTGAGGGGAAAGTTTCTCCTTGAAAACACAAATGAAAACATATTGAATTGAGTGAACATTTTTTTCCACTTTTAAAAAAAATCTGCATGATGTTCAAAAAGGTACAAATATAAGAACAGTTTTGTCTAAACATGGCAGTGTACACCTGAAATCTCAGTGCTCTGGAAGTAGCGGCAGGAAGATCACAAGCTGGAAGCAAGCCTAGGCTGTCTAGTGAGGACTCAGGCAGAGGAAATGAGCGACTTTGCTGTGTGAGTTTCAGGTCATTTACGCTTATGTGGCAGCGTACACTGAGAGACAGGTCTTTCAGTTTGAATCACTTCCTGTGTGGAAGTGTAATTTCTGCTCCTATATACACTTCCACACCGGCTCTGTGCCTACTGAGCATGCTCCGTTCCTTCATTTTCTAATCAGAGTTCAATTATAACTAAATGTGTGTGGGTTTGTTTTATGTTGTAGCGTGTCTGATGAGCTTTCTTGTCTATTGACTATGGAAAATAGTTAGCCAGCCAGATAAAACAGAGAACACCTGGGCTGCCAGTTATTTGATCTGGCAGTTCTGCCAACTCTCCGTGGAAGAGGTATCAAGAGACTTGCTAACCTTTCAGGTGTTGGCACAGGCACCACAGGCACGGACTTCTCTTCGATCTGCTCTTAGCAAATGTGTGAAGGTAATGGTGGCTATTATCATTTAAAAGGGGACATGCAAGATTCATTAGGCTAAGCAACTTGCCCAGAGTCACACAGAAGTACAACAGATACAAATTCCAGAGTCAGGAACTCAGGACCTTTCATGCCACTCAATACAAAGACCTTCACAGTGTCCTGTTTGAAAAGCACAGAGTGCTCAGAATCAGCTACCTTTCGATTTTTCTAGTAGGTGAATTTGGGCAGTAACGGAGGGCATGGGGCATCGTTTACTATGGCCAACACCTTGGACTCAGGTCATACAGTGACCCTCACTGTTCTCAGTATTCACAGCGGCATGAGGCAGCGGGGAGCCTCAGGTGTCTCAGGATGGATGTGAGAATGACCCTGGGCATGGGTGACCTAGGTAAGTGGATTCTTTTCCTAGATTGATGAGAGAAGTAGCTACTGCCCATTAGCAGGAGAGGATAATTTAATGTTTAGGAGTTACATACTTACCTTGTTTGTTTTTAGAAAATATTATGAAGTGGCCTATTTGGTCTTAGTTTATCATGAGGTAACCCTGTCTGAGGTTGGCATGTGTTAAGACTTTATGTTATATAGGGAACAAGATACCTCAGCTGTGTGCTTGCTATCAGCTAAGGACAGGGGTGCCTGCTTTTTTTCTTTCTTGGTGTGCACTTGGGAACTTTCTGGAATTGCTTCAGTGCAATTCTGTATACACTATAAAGCAATATTCATTTCTAAAGATAAGAGTAATTGGCATAGGTAGAGACAGAAGACTGTAATTATAGGAAAGTCAATAAATACAGAGAAAACTCTAACAGATGAGTCCATCAGCCAGAGCCAGCACTGCATTTGCACCATTCAAACACACAGCTTCCGCTCAGTTCTGAGTTTCCTAGTGAGATGCGTGTGCTCTGAGGGGGCAGGGAAGGGCCTTAAAGTAACAACAAACCAAGTTTATTTCTTATGTTTAAGAAAAAAACAAACTTGAAAAACTCATAGTGTGTTTTTGAACACCAAGTAATTCATATAAAACATAATTTCGATGAGCTAAGTGTAAATGAATCAGAAACATATGGATCACATTTCTTTTAAATGTGGGTTTACAAATTAAGGGAAAAAGTGGTCAGTGAGGAGTGGTTTTATCTAAACCCTAACTGTTTAAGGAAGAACCTGGGATCCTCCACCAGTCCAGTGTGGCTATGAGCAAGCAACCCTGTTGTAAACACGTGTGTAAAGTGACAGTTTCCATTTTTAAGCCAAGAATGGGATTTTATGAATTCTCTTTTCCAAGAAGCAGTTGTGTGTGTGTGTGTGTGTGTGTGACAATTAGTTCCTTGATTCCCAATCACACACTAGATTTCAAATCCAGATTTACTTAATGTATCTTAAGCAATTGGCTTTTTCTCTCTCCAACTGGTCAGCTATTTTGCTCAAAGTCTGAGCATATATATCTTTGGAAATCTGAGTTTCTTAAAACTCAAAGATACAGCACAGCCTTGCAGATACAGCATAGACTTGCTGTGCTACAAGGCCAGAGGGGTTTGGATGCCAACACTGAGCGGAAGAAGCTACTGTGAGGCACCCGTCTAAACTCACACCGATTACAGAAATCACCTCTGTGTCAAATGAAATGAACTTTTCATCATGCCCAGTCTCTCTTGCTTCAGTGGTATCCGTCTTGTCCTTAGTCATAAAAGTATAAGATTTGGGAGGTTTCAGAATCCTTGTAGAAGGATGAATCCTTTTGTTCTGTAAAACCTCAGCATGGCGCCTGGCACACAGTAGGTTTATAATACGTGTTTGTAATGATGATCACTGGAGTAACTGCAACTGGTATCACTTGCTTTGTGCTTCACTGGTGGGAGAATGGTAGAAGTAAGACTAACGAACTTTTATGAGTAACCGCCTCTATTTAGGTGCCTGTCTGGCCTTGCCAAGGCCTTGAATGACTACAAAGCGTATGCTAATGTAAAGGGGCATCAAAGGCTGCTTCTTCCTGGATATGCTAAAAAGCATAGGCACCCTCAATGGCATCCAGACAAAGAGAAGTGGGATGCTTTGTAAGGACCACAGAAAGTGCAGCTCCATTCTCATTCATCCCACCACTGCCCTCTGCACCTGTCCAGGGAGACTCAACAGGGGCGCCAGTGGAAGTCAGGCCAGCACCATCACCAGCTCCTCAAGAATGTGTGTGTCATTTTTAATCAGGGTCTTGTAAGGAAAGCAGAAAACCCGGAAACTCCATCGTGTAAAACTGATCAAATTTGACTGTCAATGGGAATAGTAAAAGTATTGCCAGTAAGTCAGTTGGAAATGGCACTTTCTCTCCTCTTCACCCTTGTTTCTAGGCTATTTAGGTTATAAAGATAGAAGGAGGAGGGAGGAACAGATTTGACCACAGATTTCAGACCCCTTAGTTTAAGGGCTAACTTCCACAGCCATTAGTTTAAGGACTTCTGTGCTTGCTACATTTTTACTAATTTGACATGAAACTAACCAGTACGTAGAAACCAGGGCTGCCTCCTTTGGTCTTTGCCCTCTGCCTAAAACTATTTCTATCAGAATGCTATAGTCTTACCAGATCAAAGTCAAAATTTACCTCATTTTTGGGAGATGACTAGCCATATTTTCAAACTGGAGCTGGACACTTTCTCCTATCAGCCCGTCTTTAGTTGTACACAAATCTGAACACAGTGTTTCTTTTTTTTTTAAAAGCAGTTGCTTTATAGATAGTGTGACTTAGCAAGCTTCTTCCTCTGGCCTTCATGTCCTGTCCTTCTTTATCCCTGACCACAATCTATGCCTTGACAGTATGTGTGTCCTTTGTGTACTGTGTCTTGAGTGTGCTACATCTTTGAGTTGGGATGACACCTCCAGCCCCAAGCTGTACTCATCCTCCAACTTCCTCTGCACCTTTTGATCCTCGCAGCCATTTCTAGCAATTCTCATAGCACAGCATTTAAGCATATGCATTTTACTAGCCTAGTTATGTGATTTTTTTCTTGTGATTTCCCTGCAGGTTCTCTGATCCATTAGGGCAACAATAGGGGGAGGGGTTCTTTTGTTTGTAGCTTGTATTTTCATGATTTTTCAGTATTCACTGACTATTCATGGTGTTTATAGCACTTGACATTTTGGGCTGTTTCTAAAAAGTTCCTTGAATATAAAATGATTTAGTTCATCTTCCACTGTTGGGAATCAAACCCAGGACCTCAGGCATACTAGGCAAACAGTCTATCACTGAGCTGCACCACCTGACCTCACTCTCCTTTTTTCTGTAGGTCTATTTACCCTGAACTGTCTGGCTTTGTCCCTTTTGATTTAACTGGGCAGGACAGGCTGAAGGGAGAGGGTGTTGCAGTCTGGGGAAGTGGAGTTTGGGTTGATGTGTGTGCTGATGTCTGAGAATACAGAGGAATGAGTACATAAACATGGAACCAAGGCTAAAGCTCTGGTGGTGTTTGGGAAAAACAACCTTGTGGTTCTTAAGGGGTCAGGCAAATATGGTGAAGTGGAAATTCATTTAGAATGTTCTTTTTAAAAACATCCCCCATTCTGAGATGCTTTGCTTTTGGGGAAGCCAAATCTTGGTGGCCTTTAAAACCTTTAAAACTTTCCTTTAAAACTCATTTACCTCTAAAAATCAGTTTGGAGTTGGGATGATTAAAGTGCAGTTCACTATTTCCACCCCTTGAGGCTGGGAACAACTGAGCCTTCCTTCGCTCCCTTCAAATGCCCTGCTGGCCACAGACATTCCTGAACTGGGCAGGGCTAGCCATCGAGGGCTGTGTACTCCATATGCCTAGCAGCTGGGAAGTCAGGCTTCCCTGCTCTCCTGCATTTTAAATTCATACAGTTTAGTTTCTGTTGCATCCACTACACCCTCCTTACTGTCACATAAGTAGAGGAATAGAACATGGCTAGAAACAGAAGGACAGGGGACACTTTGTCTCTCCAAGGCCAACAAGTATCTACAGTAGAAGTTCGGAGCAAGCTTTACCGTGTCAGCCAGCATCTGCTGCTGGAGGAGAAGTTGCTGCTTCTGCTCCATGGTTGGCCTCTGCATGGTCTGCTTCTTCCCCATCATCTGCTGATTCAACAGGGACTGCTGAGAGTTCATGTAACCACTTCCAGTGTTTGGATTTGAGCAGGAGTTGGGACTTGGACTGGGGCCTGTGCTCTGGCCTACCACAGTGTGTTGATCCTGTAGAAGAGAGAAAAGGAGGGCAAGATACTGTGAATTAAAGAAGACATGGGAGCACAAAGATGATTACGCTTAGATTCCAAGTATTTTCATCCAGTTGGAGATCAAATTTGGTTAATGAGTTGGACATCTGGAGAATCACTTTTGAAAAGCCATTGTTGTGTAACACTGCAAACAGAGCAGGAAGGTGAACGGTGGGCATCAGACTCTTACCAGTCTCCTCATTCCAGAGGTGTTTAGGGAACCTCAAAGAAAATATTCAGTGACACTCTCAACTTCTTTGAAGCAAAGGCATCACAGAGCGACAGCCATTTCTTTTCTCTCACAAGTCAGTGTGCATTTATTATTTCTGACCCTACAATGAAAATGGAGTTTCCAACCATGTGTTTAAAGTTGAATTGCCATTCTGGACAAGAGGCAGAAGGTATTTGTCCTCTTACTTAGAGACTCATTAATCTCACAGCAGTTTATGCTAAGGGGACACCCTACTTATTGGCAATGATGGAGAAAATAACGTCATATATCAAATAATATTGGATATTGGAAAATTACCACTCAGATCTGAGGATCTACTAGTCTTTAGGCATTGATACATTAGAACCCTGCAGGGACAGCAGCTAAGTCTTCTGAGGTATAATTCTGTCCTAATGAACTATATAGAGCTCTGTACTAGTAAGACTCCAAGAAGACTGGAAAACATGGTCTCCTTGTAGAACTCATATCTAACCAAGGGACAGAAAATGCTCAGATTACAGAGGTTAGAAATTATAAGATCAGCCTGGGCAGAGTGAAATATTCTTGTCATTTCTGCTCTCAGAAGGTGGAGGCAGGAGAACCATGGGTTTAAGATCATCCTCTGATATATAACAAGTTCAAGGCCAACCTGGGATACAGGAGGCAAAGTCTCGAAACACAACAAACACAATATTATAAAATAAGAATTTAAACTATGTAATGAAGAACATCAAAGATGTTCACCCATCGATGACAGTGACCCAGGAGGCAGGAAACTTTGTACCTGTATGAGCTCATGCTTGTAGCACCTTTGGGAAACATGAAATACACAGAAGCAAAACAGTTTGACTCCTACCCTCCAGCTGGACAGCAAGTGCTTACAGCACATCAAAAAGGGAACTCTCACGATGCTTGAGGAGTAGGAGTGGTACACCACTCTCAAGAATTATCTTCTTTATTACATTAAAAACATGTTACTTGCTAAGCCTTTTTTTTTCCTAGTAGAAAGCTGCCAGTCTGAAATCCAGTGCAATAGGAAACTGTATCTTAATAGTATGTCAAACAGGAAATATCAAACAGCAAAGGGATCTAGAATAATTGTATGAAGAGCCACACACCAAGACAGCACACAGGCCAGACCTAACATTCAATGCTTTACACCGTTTATCCAGTCCATCCACCAAAAACGGACAAGAACTAGTATTTTTATTTCAATTTTCCAGATGAGGTATCTGAGCTGAGGGAGACCTTGGAGCTGGAGGTGTGAACGTGGCAGAGGGTTTGGAGTCAGGTCAGCCTGACTGAAGAATGCTCCCTCTCTATTGTGGTACGATGCTGCTCTAAGCTGAGACAGTAAACATTGAAGAAAGAATTTTGCATGAGCCAGCTACCAACACAGTCATCTTCTCGTGACCTTCTTTCCACTTTAAATGCACATAGCCCCCAGAAGTCATTTGTCTCCATGTGTCTTACAAGCCATTAGGAATGTGGACTTGAAGACAAGAGCTTGTGAGTCCCTGACAGAGTGGACGAGAAGAAAATCATAGAGTTGAGAGTCTTGGAAGGAAAGCAGAGTAGGAAATAGAGGGTGTGGAGGAGGACTGATGGCAGAACCCTTGGGACTTCTCAGATAAAGGAGAGGGAAGAAGAGTCTGTGGTGTGAGAAAAGAGGCAGGGTGGAAGGGCTGGAAGGACCCCTGGAAATGTTGGAGGAAGGAATCAAGCTGAGAGAACACACTGGAAGCAGTAGTTGGATCTCTGCTCTATTTTAACCTGAACAATCTTTTCTAAGATACAACCTGAAGTTTTGTGCAAGGCTTTGAGAAAAAAATATTTCATGCTTAAAGGAAATGATTAACAAACAGGTAGAAAAACATACAAAGGACTTTTTTTTTAATCTCTTTGCATGACTATACTGAACAAAAGCAGGAGCTCTGGGGTGTGGCCTGCCCAATCCATGCCCTGGTTCTAGCATTTATTAGATGGGGGTCCAGAAGACGTGAATTCACTCTCCTCATCTGTAAAATGGGAACAGGAAAAATGACTATAGCATTGAGGTGCTGATGTCATTGACACCCCGTGACAACCAAATGACTGACTCCAATGAAGGGCTTTAATGATGGCCACTCATAGTTGCTAATGCTATTTCAAGAGTGCATTTTTATTTTTATCTTTTTCCTATTGAAGCAGATAGGTCAGCCTTGCAGGTCACTGAAAACTGTTCTATGAAAACTTGATCAGACATGCAGAGTTCATTTGGAACTCGAAGGGGACACACAGATATACACCCTTAGCTAACACATGAGTTTATAAGCTACATGGTAGGTGTCCATGCCCAGCGCATAGCCACTCACCCATGAACATATCTGCAGTACCAATTGGATTCATGGTTACTAATAACACACAAAAAAGAGAGAACATGAAGTTGAGAAGGACTGGGAGACTCAAGGGGAAGTTGGAAGGAAGGAAAGACTAGATAGGAACAAACTACATTGTAGTGATATATGAGACGTCCAAAGAAGAAATAAAATATAATTTAAAAAAAACTGCAAGAAAAGAGATGGACAGCATGTTTAGTGTTGGCAGAACTGGTGAGCTTCAGAATGATTTCCAGAGAAATCTGGAACAATGCCCATCTCTGAGATTTAGAAAGGATGTGCGTGCCAAGAAAACGCAGCTCTTTTTCTCTCTAATCAAACAGATGGACTGTTCTAAACTTAGTTTCATTCCTAGACAATACCAAAAATATTCTAGGACCCTTTTCCCTAAAGTCTCAAGTGTTGTCCAAATTTGAAAATAGTGCTGGGATGGAGGGACATGTCCTGGTGTAGAAGAGAGAGAAATAAATTCTCTTGGAATTTTGTAGATTTTTTACCTTTGAACTTGTAGTTCATAGACCTTACCATGGTACTCTTACACACTGTTTCAGTTCGTGACTGAAATCACATTTAGCTGCTGTCATATTTTTTGCCCTTATGTTAGCTGTGAAACACAAGACACCTCCTTCACAGACATGCCTTCATTGCCAAGATGTTGTGCAAACTGCAGTACATAAAATATTTTGAAAGAAAAATATGCTCCAATGCATTGGCTACGGTTTCTATATCCAGCCTTACTGCTACCCCCAGATTCAGCCATGGAGAACTCAACACCAGAGACATCAGCTGGTTCTCCCTCCACACAATACATCTTTCCTTCTGGAGGGCAAATGGAAGCCATGGTAAAGTTGACACATCCTCACCTTCCATGGTACTGCATGTGTATGTGTGTATGTGCTCGTGTGGCTGTGAACGACTCATGTCATTTCCAGTGTGGTAATGTTATCAGCATGGAAAACCCAAGGTTATAGAGACATTGGAGTCAAAGACTGGTTGGTAACAAGTTACAAACACACACCTGATTAAAATAATTAAAATACCTTTCATTTATGTTTTCTTTTTCTGTTTTAAGTTCTAATGCTATAATGCTTGATGCTAACCCACCATGTCTTCATTTAAATTTCATTTACATAGTCACATGTTTTTGTACTTGAGGTATATGTGTGTGTTGAGATTATAGGTGTGCACTTCCTCATCCAACTTTAGAATACACACACACACACACACACACACACACATTTTTCTAATTTAAGTTCTTTGATAATATACTTAATTATATTTTCTTCTCTCTTTTCCACCTATACAGCCCTCCCCAGTCTACTTCACGACCTCTTTTTTCAGCAATTGTTATTGCATGCACATATGTATTTGATTATACATATATACTCCTAAATATAACCTGTTAAGTCTGTATAATTTTTCTTGTATGTATGTTTTCAGGGTGACTGTTTGTCACTGGAAAACTGATCCGGTGTACTTTTCCCTGGGGAAGAATACCTCTCCCACCCTCAGCTTTCCTTATGTGCCCAGAGCTCTTTGTATGGATTGAGGCCTCAACTTAGAAATTTAATGAAACAGTTTGTATGAAGAAAGTCTTAGGATCAAATGGAAGAGACAAAGCTTGGCAGGTAGATCTTACTTCGACAATCTCAGTATATTGTGACCAACATGTGAGTAATCTTTCTAACAGATGCTGCAAAATAAGAATGATGTGATTAGTTATTTTGTTCTAATGTGAAACAAGGATTCTTTGTGTCATGGAGAACTGACTTCAGCCAGAGGTAGGAAGCAAGTGTGTTTGACATGTCAGAAGACAGCAAAGAAAAGAATCTACCAGTTCCTTGAGAGATACTTGATATGGTAAGGCTCATTGAATTTAGTCATTGTTAAAGCAGTTTTGTGAGCTATACAGACACACAGCAGCTTTCACAAAGGACTCGAAGTTTGAAAATAAGCATTGTTCTCTTGTTCCTTAAAGACTAGCTAAAGAATATGTGTTATTCTATACATCTGATTGAAATGGCTTTCTGTGTCTCTGATTTACAAGGAGGATATTTAATGATTTTCCCATTACAAAACAAAGTCCTTAGAGTTACCAGAGACCCCTGGGAGTATTTTGGGTGGTTTGACTAGCCTTCCTTTTTCTTGGCTTCTATAGTTAGGCATCTGCAATTTGCAAAACAAATTCAAGATAAAGTACCCAGCTGGGCAGGCCTGTACAGTAGATCTCACAAACTGGTTTGCTAGTCAATCAATCTTTCTTCTCTCCTCCCTTCTTGCATCCCCTGTTTCAATGAACTAACTGCTCAACTGTTCCCCCAGGCTATTCATCTTTAGCACTGTCTGCTGATAAAGCCGTTTATTTATATCTCTGCCTGAGAAACACGCTGCCTGAGCTGTTTCTTTCGGATTCCCTGTAAGCTGTTAAACCAGATCATTCAAGTCATTTATTCGGGGGTAGGCATGGTGAGGTGGCTGTGGGCAGCTGAAGTGATTGAAAGGCTCCTGTTTGACACAAGGACAATCGCTGCAGAGGAATCTGTCAGGGAATTACTTCAGATGGAGTTTGGAAACTTAAGACATTCCCATCTCAGATTGGAGACTTCAGGGCTCAGTTTCACCGGTCAGTAAACGACACAAAGGTTGTACCACATCCCACTGGCCACCTTTTTTTAGTGTATAGAATGTCATCGGATCAAGATCCCACACATTCACTTACATATTGTCTGTAACTGCTTGTCTATTATACCAACAGAATTCAAGAGCTGTGACTGAAACCTTGCAACCCAAATATATCTGGCCTTTACAGAACCAGACTGCTGGCTCTTTTCCTGCTTACCTATGCTAAACTTTAGTCTTTTTGCATTAAATTGGTTGGGGGATGCTTTAGGGAAGGGGCCCTGAAATCCTTGGAAGTAATTGGCAAACTGAAGAAGCAATGCTATCGTGATAAGTGTTTCCATTAACATCTTCCCAACTCTCCTCTTCCCTCCAGCACCCATGGCATCTGTTGAGAATGGAAGGAACTTACAAAGTCTCTGCCAATCTCCACATTTGAGATGAAGATATATCCCCCAATCCTTAAGGACTTGAGTTACACAAGGTAACATATCTAATCAAAAGATGAAGAGTGCTGTCTAAATTCTGGGAAATGTGTTATGTAAAATACTCACTGGCTAAAAGACATGGTTCAGTTGCTGCCCTTGCAGAAGACTTTAATTCAGTTCCTAGCATATACATGGCTAGTCACAGTGACATGTTACTCCAGCTCCAGGGGATTGACACATTATTCTGGTCTCCATGGGCACACACACACACATGGTACATATAAACTCACACACACACATGTATGCATGCACAAACACATCATTTTTAAAAATGTAGAAGAGAAGATTTTTCATCTTGCCTGATAGAAATGTGTGTGTGTGGGCATGGTGGTGTCTTTAGGCATAGGGTGGGGGCACAGGTGTTGGAGATGGAGTTTGATAAGGAAGGAAAAATTAGCATTTTCCTTTGAGATAGATCACCAGGTAGACGTGTTTCTTTCAGAGGATTTTACATCACTTGCTCAGCAGGGAAAGTCTGAGCCTGCAGTGTGCATTCTCTCTGGTTCCACCGATGGAAATGAGGTTTCTTTCAGATATTGCCTAATATTCAAGTCACCAGGACACCGTGTCTATTCTTAGCCTTTGGGGTGGACACCTATTATGGGTTGGCAATGAGAGCAGTTCCATGAGGCGGTATCTCTGGGGTGGATTGTGGCCAGGAACAGAACATCACTGGGTCAGGGCGGAGTGGGAAAAACGGACTCACTCAGGGGAAGGAATGAGGCATTTTTCTTAAATGAGAAATTCTTCAGTTTTAGAAGGGCCCTTTGTGGTGGACCTGAGATTTCTGCTCTGCAAGCTGGCCTTTAGCTCTCTGTCTCTAGGGCCAAATGTGCTGTTGTATTATGATGCCCTGTGAAAATTTCATAAAGCTATCAAGGCTGCCTCTCTTTTCGTCTCCACAAGCACACATAGAAACCAACAAGTTTGTCATTTGTTTCAAGAAGCTTGTACATTCCCTAAATGTGTCCAGACCATCCTCAGACCTCAGTCTGTGAAGTTCACCCTCTGCTCATCAAAGATTTGTTTGTGAACATAATGATATGTCTTACAGACAGAGCCACCAGCCAGGGACTAGGTATTTAAATACAGAGCATATGGGGACATTCTCATTAAAACCATAATAATCCTGTCTGGAACAGTCCTCCTCTGCTTCCTTCTCCCAGCCAACTGATGCTTCAGTTAAAATGTCTGCCAGGCAGTCCTCTCTGAGTCCCTAAGGTCGAGGTTCTTCTGTGTCTGTGACAAATGGCACTAGCCCATCCCAGCCACAGCATTTGTCGATCAGTAGTGGATTGGCTCCATAGTTTATACCCATTTGTCTCCTAGCAATGTGCTTCGATGACTGAGGAATATTCATCAGGATAGTCCTTGGGTATACCAGACTCTCTGTATAAACAGTTCTTGATCTTAAAAATGTATGTGAATGAACAGGGAAGCAGTTCAGAGTAGGAACAAGGACAGACTTTCCTGTCAATGAGACACAAGGTGTCAAAGTGCTAATCTCTTCAGGGGTAACCAGGAAACTACAGTAGAAGAAAGAATGAGTCAGGCATAGGGCTATGTTCTTAATTCCAGTGTTTTTGATTAGGTGGTTACCTCACAGAAAAGATGCTTCCAAGAGTGTGAGATAAGGAACGTTGTGTTGTCACCAGCAATGACCAAAGTGAAGACAGCAGTGATGTGCAACCCGAGATGTTCCATTAGCAGGCATCAGTTTTTGTGTGAATACAAAGTAGCTGTCTTCAGACACACGCCAGAAGAGGGCATGGGATCCCATTACAGATGGTTGTGAGCCACCATGTGGTTGCTGGGAATTGAACTCAGGACCTCAGGAAGAGCAGCCAAGGCGTCAGTTTTTGAAAGCTAGAGGTCACTTATCAAAGGCTTGACGTCTTGTTTAATACTTTCAATAACAATATTTTCATTATTGTTCCAAATTTAAATCAGAGGAGATAAAAAATAAACTTGTCTTGTTCTAAAAGGCAAATGAGCTTGTTAGTACACAGAATGTTTAGAAAATATTCCTGTGTCCTAAGCAGCAATTTGAAAGGTAGGCTGCAGACATAATCAGCTAAAGTCCCCACTTCACTTTTCAATAAGCTGAATTGGGTTAAAATAGCATCAGAAGATTTTTAAGACCAAACAGTATGAAGTGAGTAAAGTACTTAGTACCGTAGCGTGGAGTATGCCTCCAACTTCAGATAGACACTAAGCTCTCTGTTTAAATTAACCTGGTCATTAACAAACATTAGTTAGCGACATGACAACAGAGCAAGCAATTTGGGGTTTATATTAACACCTTCGATACGCCAACGAGCAGTAACTACTCAGTCCCTTGAACTTATGGAACTAAACACTATCAATACTGCTTCTACCAAATGAAAACAACTGGAAAGTAGTATGTGTGGGCAATTTGGTCAACTGTATCTCATAAATGGTAATCGTGCTTCTTTTGATTGCTGAGGGACTCCAGTAATGTCGAATCAGTCACAGCCTTTGCCTCCCAATAAATGTAATGTGTGTGTGTGTTCATTTTCTGTGTGTGCCTGTTTTGTCTGCTAGTATGGTGTGTATCATGTACAAGCAGTACCAATGGAGGCCAGAAGAGGGCACTGCATTTACTGGGGCTAAGTTACAGATCACTGTGAGCAGCCTAAAGGATGGGATGCTGGGAATTGATCTCAGTTATTTGGAAGAGCAGCTGATGCTCTTAACTGCTGTGCCATCTCTTCAGCCTCATGTTTTTTGTTTGTTTGCTTGTTTTGTTTTTGTTTTGTTTTGTTTTGTTTAGCTGGAGTCTTGTGTAGCCCAGGCTGCTCTCAAACTCACTAAGTAGCTAAAGCTGACCTTGAACTCCTGGTCCTCCTGCTTCCACATTCTCGTTCTAGGATTACAGACATGTGCCACAGTGCCCAGCTAACACAGGCACTGTTTGCTGTGGCTGAATAACCCTCCAAAACACACACTGAAACTTTATCTTCATACTGGAAGTAACAAGTAGGGCTATTAAAAAGATGATGGAGCTGTGAGACTCCACTCTCAGGACTCCTTCTCTGAGGAGCCTCAGTCCATTCTATCTTCTCCTGTCTACCTTGAAGGAATAAGCCATTGATGAAAGAGGTCTCAGCAGACAGCATGCTGGCACCAACTGCAGAATCTGGAGAAAAGCTTTTCATGTTTTTTGCAAGTTATGGGGTCTGTGGTGTTCTAATATGCAGCACAGATCCACTCAGCATTGAAGGAAAGTTAACATTTATTTTTAACTATTATCGACTTACAGCATATATGTGTGTATGCGTATACGTATATTCTTCTAGGAGTTGGTCCTTATAACCTATGAACCCAGTCAGTTTTAGTCTTTCTTTATAACTTTTGTGACCTTATGTTCTCCAACTTTAAAATGTGAAATTTAGATTATAATCTTAGTTCTAATCTGACCAAATAGTTGGAATTCCTTTTGTACTTGGTCAAGTGAACAATGCATACCATTGGAAGAAAACAATTCAATTTCTATTTTTCGGCTGAGTCTAAAATATGATTTAGCAACATGGCATGCAAAATCATAATCTCTTGCCCCTATCATAATCAAACAATGGCTTTGGGCCAGGTGGGGTGAAGGACAGGGTCTCAAAGTGTTCCTTCTCTTCTGTAAATGAATAAAGGCGTGCAATGAAAACACTGGAGAAATGTATAGACCGAATGCCAGACATATTCACACACATAAATGTCAGAAAGCACAATGTAAAATTGCATGCTCTGGTATAAGTTCTCAAGTGATTCTGTAAAAAGGTCTATCTTTTCCTTAGTTCTGGACAAAAAAAGAAAACAAAAACCAAAAACATAAGCAAACAACAAACAAACAAACAAACAAAAAACTCTACAATTTCCTAGGAATAACTTTAAGTCTTGATTCTCTATTCTGTACTAAAATGTACAAAACAACTCTAAGGTAAGCTACCTCTTTTTAAAAGAGAAATAGAGGATATATTCATTGTCGTGTTTTGCTTAGTGCTTTGGAACTACAGAGGAGCAATCAGTGTACACTGCCTGGTTAATGTCTTCAAACAACTTTGTGTTCTATGACATTTTTGAGAATCTTCAAGTGCTTTATTGTAATGGCCACATGGGACTTTAGGAAGGAGCCATGTGGTCTCTGTCACATTCAACACTGAAATGTTCCCTGGGTTAGGATGCAAGCCACTAAATGCTTCACTAAATGTGGGACATCAAAAAAAGCTGAGTTCTCCTTAAGACTCTAAGGGACAAATTTCAAAAAGGTGGAGGTTTCTGTTGAATCAGTACCCAGAAAATGAAGTTATCTACCAAATCTTATTTATGTAAACTGTACAAATACATTTTTATGAGCGAGATACCACAGTAACATTTTAGAAAAGTAATAGCCATAAATAAAAAATCTACTCTAAGAATGAGGAAGGTCAATGATTGTTTTTGGTCTTATAAGTCAGCTGCACAAATGCCCACTCTGCAGTCACCTTGTAGCCATGACTGTAGAAAAGAATAGTGAGGATTTTAAGATACATTTGTTGAGTAATAGGATGTGGGATATTTCTGAGAGAAAGATTATTTCACATTTGAAATTATTTGTCAAAGAAGTAACAGGTAAGTATTTGATTAAAAAAATCAGATAAACGTCACTTATAATTCACAATTATCTAATTATTAAGAAAGTAATATGTATACTGAAAACTTTCAATAAAATTACAAATACCAAACTTGGATATAACACCCAGTGTTTTAGCTTGGAGTGTCAGTTGTTGGTCAATGCAAGATCCCTGCTCACCATGAAAGCCTAGGGTGTGAATTCCACAATACAGATGAACAGGAACTTTGGGACTCCCATTTCTCAGCAATTTGGGTAGGTTGGTTGCATTGGGTTCTGTTACTTGTAACTGAAAACAGATTCTTGATTGGAACACTGACTGGCCAGCCATCTTTGGACTGGGTAAACATTTGTGGCTTAGTCTCCTAACTG